TTAGCAATTCAAAAGTGTATTCCATCTTATGGAAACATTTGCCAAGCTAAATGAATCCTCTTTCCTGGAAATAACAAAGGAGGCAAGGAAAGATGGATTCACATTCCCTCCATCATCCCCTACCCCAAACCTGGCAGCCCAGCACAGAGAGACACCCTGTCTCCATGGGAGGAGAAAAGTGAGCACCTGACTTCACCAGGGACACCCAGTACCATGCCAATTCCTACAGCCCTAGGTGGCTCCCAGGGCACCAAGCTCCTAGAGGCTCCTGTGAACTCAGGGTACCTGCTCACACCAGTGTCAGCTGGCTCCTGCTGGCCCAGGAACTCCTGAGAGCCTCCAGCTCTCAATCAGCCCAAGCTCCAGGCCAACTACTATGGACTGACCCAGGCCACTGGCCCATCCCAGGACCAACCAGCCCCCATACACTCAGAGTCTAAACCAGCTCTCACGTACTTAGATTCCTAGCTTACTCTAGCACCAGACAGGCCCTTGCAGACCCATCTCCAGGTCTGTCCCTGAAGCCCCAGGTCATTGACCACCCTCATGTCCCCAGCCTTTGGACCAAGCCTGTGAATCCAGACTTGGGGCCCATCTCAGTGATCCCTGGAGTCTGCTTGATCCCTGGGGACCCAGGATCCAGGCCCACCCACATAGACCAGGTCTCAGGCCTATAACTGCAGGCTGAAGGCCCAAGCCTCACCCATTGTACCCAAGCATCAGGGCTACTCACCTATTGACCCAGACATCACCAAATAACCCACCCAGAATCTCTAGACCAGCTTGGCTGCTGAAGTCAGTCTATAAAGACTAGAAGAAGTACATATTTCCTCAAATGGGCAGACACCTACCCACGAGCACAGAGATCATGAAAAATCAAGGAAACATGGCAGTAGCCAAAAAACAACAACAACAACAAAAAACACCTCATAAAGACTTTAAATAGCCACAGCAATCCTGAGAAAGAAGGTCAAAGCTAAAAACATCACAATTCCTGATTTCAAATGTTATTAAAAGCTATTGTGATCCAAATGATATGGTACTGGCATAAAAACAGGTACATACATCAATGGAACAGAATTGAGAGCCCAGAAATAAACCCATAAATATCCCTTATCAAATAATATTTGATATTTAATGGGGAAAGGATAGTCTCCAATAAATGATGGTGGGAAAACCAGATATTCACAAACAAAAGAATGAAATTGGACCCCTATCTCACACCACTCACAAAAATTTTACCTGAAATGGATTAAAGGCTTAAATGTAAGACCCAAAACTATTAAAACATAGAAAAATGGCTCCTTGACATTGGTCTTGGCAATGATTTCTTGGATATGACATCAACAAGCAACAAAAAGCAAAAATAAAGAAGCTAGAGGACATCGAGTTAAAAAGCTTCTGCACAGCAAAAGAAACCATCAGCAAAATGAAAAGGCAGCCTGCAGAATGGGAAAATACTTGCAAACCGTGGATCTGATAAGGGGTTAATATCCAAAATATATAAAGAAATACAACCCAAGAGTGAAAAAACAATCCAATGAAAAAAATAGACAAAGGACTTGATTATACATTTCCCCAAAGAAGACGTACCAATGGCCAACAGCTACATGAAAGCGAAAAGCTAAGAATGCAATTAAAAACAAAGGCATAAATATCGATTTGCGTTTGGAAATGCAACTCTGATTGGAAACCTGTCATGAACTGAGGTAAGTTTCCCTGTGTTTCTATTTCCTTATACCACACACATGTCACTTTCCTCTACCTCCTCATAGCTACTTACTCTTGGTTTCTGCCTCCTCATAGCTCTGGTTGGCCAGGACCCCTTGTATCAATCAGGGTATAGATAGGAAGGAGATCAGCCCCTGATTAATAAGGGATTCTTGTCAAAGGAGAGGCCGGGTTAAGGGAGACCCAGGAGGGCTGGAGAAGCACCCTGGGCTAGCAGCATCGGGAAGCCCTGTCACCCCTAAGCCTCCAGGTTGAGACAGGAGCCAGGAGGGAATCTGCAGAGGGTGCTGGGCTGCAGGGCAGCCTCCCTGGAGGAGCTGAGAGTTTTGGAGAGGAATAAACCACTGCCAACCACAACCAGGTGGGAGGGGGCCAGAGCAAAAAAGCCCTCCCCTGCCTCCCTTCCCACAGTGGCAAGGGAGAGAGTAGCCAGGAGAACTGGAGAAGCAAAGGCAGAGTATCTATCATACCTTGTGGCCTGGAGACTTCTCTCTCTATACCCTTCTGTTACATCCCTCAAGGCAGCTGCTTTAGTGGCTTAGTAGTTCCTAATTCAGATTTCAGGCTGAGTGAGTGAGGCTCTGCTGTCATTGGCCAGGCTATGCATTAGCTGCCATTGGGTCAGCTGCCCGTCCAATCAGCTATACAAGCACACCTCGGAGATAGTGCTGGTTCGGTTCCAGACCACTGCCATAAAGCAACTGTCGCAATATAGTGAGTCAAATGACTTTTTTGGTTCCTCGGCGCATATACAAGCGGTGCTTACAGGATGCCTGGGTGGCTCAGTCGGTTGGCCGTCTGCCTTCAGCTCAGGTTATGATCCCGGAGTCCTGAGATCAGGTCCCCCTCGTCGGGCACCTTGTTTGGTGAGGGGCCTCCTTCCTCTTCCTGCCGTTCCCCCTGCTTGTGCTTGCTCTTTCTCTGAAAAAATGAATAAATTCTTAAAAAAAAAGTTGTACTTACACTAAACTGTAGCCTATAAGTGTCAAATGATATTCTATCTTCAAAAAAGCACACGCATACCTTAATTTTAAAATACTTTGCTAAAAAATGCTATCCATCATCTGAGTTTTCAGCAATTTGTAATCTTTTTGCTGGTGGAGGGTCTTGCCTCTGTGTTGATGGTTGCTGCTGATCAGGGTGGTGGTTGCTGAAGGCAGGGGGCTGGGCCATGGCAATGTCCTTCTTTCTTCCTTCCTTCCTTTCCTTCCTCTCTCCCTCCCTCCCTCTCTCCTTCTTTCTTTCTCTCTCCTTGTCCCCCACCACTGCCACACTGGTCCCTGTAGCAATTTCTTGAAATGAGACAAAGATGACGTTTGCCACAGAGATCGAGAGATTCTCTGTAGCAGGCGAAGCTGTTGGGCAGCATTTTACCCACAGTAGAACCTCTTCCAGAACTGGAGCCTATCTTCAAACCCTGCCACTGCTTTATTGACGGAGTTCACCTAACAGTCGCAATGCTTTGCTGTCATTGCAACAATCTCCACAGCCTCTTCACCAGGAGGAGATTCCATCTCAAGAAACCACTTTCTTTACTCATCTGTAAGAAGCAAACCACTTTCTTTACTCATCTGTAAGAAGCAACTCCTCACACATTAACGTTTTAACATGAGATTGCAGCAGTTCAAATAGAATGATAATGACAAAATTTGAAATAGTGGAAGAATTACCAAAATGTGACACAGTGACGCCAAGAGAGCAAATGCTGTTGGAAAAAGGGTGCTGATAGGCTTGTTTGACCCAGGGTAGCCACACACCGTCAGTTCGTAAACAAACACACAAACAAAAGGCAATCATCTGCGATGCACGGCAAAGGGAAGGGCCGTAAAACAAGGTATGCCTGTACTGAAAATGCTGAGGGGTGGGGGAACAGGAAATGTATTACGAACACCCTCTCCCTGGGGTACCCAGAGCCACTGGTCTAGAACAGATGCAAATATTCTATGTGTATAACATACAAATGAAACAATAACCATTGTAACATTGTGATTGCTTTTCCTCCGGGCTCCAATGAAAACAGTTAACATTTCTTGAATACCAGCTATGATCTAGGTGTGGCTAAATCACTCTGTGCATATTCTCCCATTTCATCTTTGCAGATCCTCTGTAGTAGGCCTAGTTATTACTTACGGGCTACAGACGAGGTAGTCCTGTCAGCAGAGGCTCAGCCACCTGCTGGAGGGTGCCCAGGAATAGATAAGTAGTGGGTGTAGATTCTACCCAGCCCAGGCGATCTGAGTCCACACGTGGGCTACTGGACACCATTCTTACCCCACCTACGAGACAAGAAATAAAAATCAACATTATCTTTTAAAAGAACCCATCTTTAGGGATAGAGTTTCTTCCTTTCCATCAGCATTTCCAAAAGTAATCCTACGGCAAGGCAACACTACTTTAACTTAAGACTTTACTATTAGGGAAAAGTGGGTGAAGGGCATATGAGATCTCACTGAATTTTTTTTTTTTTCTTTCTCACAACTGCATGTGAATCTACACTTAACTCAAAATAAATTACGGGGTGCCTTGGTGGCTCAGTCGGTGAAGCGTCTGCCTTCAGCTCAGGTCACGATCCAGGGGGTCCTGGGATCCAGCCAGTAGGAAGCCTGCTTCTCCCTCTCCCTCTGCCTGTTGCTCCCTCTGCTTGTTCTCTCTCTCTCTGTCAATTAAATAAATAAAATCTTAAAAAAAATAAAGTTAAAAATATTGTAGCAACAGCATCAACTTCCATGTATTTATGAACTTCCTTACAATAAAATGTATCAAATGCATGCTCATTAAATAAATATGGACTACAGAGTATTCCCTTCCTCATCCCACCACAAAGTAGGTCTGATGAGATTTCCCTGGGCTACTCGACAAGGCACACAGTATTTGCGACTGCCAAGCTTTATCCCAAATGGTGAATGAATCAATGAGTCATTCTTTCTCTCCACCGCCATGTTTATAATACCTGTAAAATCTAAACACTGCTGTGTGCAAAACGTGCTTGGAAAGTCTCACTCCCTTCTCTCCCCTGCTCCTCTCTGCTCTAGGCTACAGAGAGCATCCAAGCGGGAAGCTGCAGACACAGTCAGTTGTCTGCAGACGATGAGGCTGTGATCCATGCATTGCAAATCCTGGTTACCGCTCCCAAAGAAAGACTTCTGCTCACCACCATTCCCATGCCCTAGAGATCCCAGACATGCAACCGACAGACAGAAAATGGCAGCCACCAAAGCGCTGAGGGGAGTCCTTCCAGTCCTTTCCGTCTGGGCTCCAAGTTTTTTTCCATGATGGCCTGCAACAGCTCCACCACTGAGACTTACCAGTACTTGCTGCTGAATGGGAGCAACGTGTCAGCCTCTGGGGTCACCACACCCCCTGCCCCCCTCAGGATATCCTTGGCAATAATCATGATGCTAATGATCGTGGTGGGATTCCTCGGCAATTCTGTGGTCTGCATCATCGTGTACCAGCGGCCAGCCATGCGATCCGCCATCAACCTGCTGCTGGCCACGCTGGCCTTCTCCGATATCATGCTTTCCTTATGCTGCATGCCCTTCACGGCCGTCACCCTGATCACGGTCCACTGGCACTTTGGGGATTACTTCTGCCGGCTCTCAGCCACCCTTTACTGGTTTTTTGTCCTGGAGGGCGTGGCCATCCTGCTCATCATCAGTGTGGACCGCTTCCTCATCATCGTCCAACGCCAGGACAAGCTGAACCCGCGGCGGGCCAAGAGGATCATCGCCGTTTCCTGGGCGCTGTCGTTCTGCGTGTCGGCGCCCTCGCTGGCGGGCCGGACGTTCATGGAGGTGCCGGCGCGGGCCCCGCAGTGCGTACTGGGCTACACGGAGTTCCCGGCGGAACGCGCCTACGTGGTGGCGCTGGTGGTGGCTGTGTTCTTCGTGCCCTTCGGCATCATGCTGTGCTCCTACCTGTGCATTCTGCACACGGTCCGCAAGAACGCCATCCGCGTGCACAATGAGTCCGACAGCCTGGACCTCAGACAGCTCACCAGGGCCGGCCTGCGGAGGCTGCAGCGGCAACAGCAGGTCAGCTTGGACTTGAGCTTCAAGACCAAGGCCTGCACCACCATCCTGATCCTCTTCGTGGGCTTCTCACTGTGCTGGCTGCCGCACTCGGTCTACAGCCTGCTGTCGGTGTTCAGCCGGGGCTTCTACTGCAGCTCCTCCTTCTACACCACCAGCTCCTGTGTCCTGTGGCTCAGCTACCTCAAGTCCGTCTTCAACCCCATCGTCTACTGCTGGAGAATCAAAAAATTCCGCGAGGCCTGCATTGAGCTGCTGCCCCAGACCGTCCAAATCCTCCCCAAAGTGCCTGAGCGGATCCGGAGGAGAATCCAGCCCAGCACGGTCTACGTGTGCAATGAAAACCAGTCCGCCGTTTAGGAGGATGCCCGCGGGAGGAGCCCCATGCGCTAGTTCCCGGCCGGAAGGAGCTCATACGCCCTTCTGCTCTGTGTCCTGGCGGCGCTGGTGGTAATCTGCAGTTTTGGTGGCCCTCCCTGTAAGCACAAATGTACCATCTGTTCCCGGATGGGTTGCAGCTCCCAGGTTTGCAAGATGTATTATTTTTGTTTCTCACTGAAGAAGAGCCGTTTTGGGGTTTGATGGAAAGTGGAAGGTAGCTGAGATAAAGTGGGAATGGGGTAGGCATATGGGGGCCGAAAGTTAGCGAGAAGGCAGGGAGACTGAGTGTGGGGCTGGAGAAAGGCTCTAAAGAGCTGCTTGTGCACCTGCTTCCGAGCAACACTGTGGTGACTGCTCTGAGATGGGAAACCCAGAAGGGATTATCTCATGGATGACCACTCCTTTCGTTTGACGCCAGCCTTCTTCATAGGTATTCATGTTTGTGGAGCATGGGAAACACACAAGGCTCTTTATGTTGGTCAGGTGTGCCTTTCTGATCATGCACAATCTTCCTTTTGATAAACCAAAATCGCACCAGGAAGTAGAGTGAGCCCCTGTGCTTTTCAGTTGCTCAGTGGGACACATGGGAGGTGTCCATGGCTTGAAGCCCAGAGAATGATCGGGGTAGCTCAGCTGAAATGAGAAGCCCACCCAAGTGGTCCTGCATTTACCCAACTGCTCCTACCTGGCCTAGCCCTGTCCCCGGGCCCTGAAGCCCTCCCTCTGGGCCGTGAGAGTCCCACTGCCCCTTCTCTCTTTCCCTCCACTGTTCCCCATGCCTCCCTTTGTTTCATGCCATCCATCCCATGCACCGAAGAAACCCATTCTTTCTGTAATTCATCTTTTCAGTAAGTATCCATAGTGACTTGCTCTCAGTTTCAGAAGCGGTCAGTGGGCTTGGTTTATGTTTTCTCCCAAGTGCCCAAGGCTGCTGTCTTGGTGAGCTGCTGCATGGACTTCAGCACAGGGGCTGGAGTGGGGGGGCATCATAAACACCTGACCCGCTGAGCTCTGAGCGGTTCCCCACTGAGCTCTGCCTTCCTCCTACCTCATTCAGATCCACAGTCTGAGTGCTGCTGTCCTGGCCACCTGCCAGAACCTGGGGCTCCCAACCCCAGCTGGGACCAGGAGCCCAGGACTAAAGCTGCCTGGAGGGGACCTTTCTGCTTGTGCTATCCACTCAGCCACTGTGCCCAGGGCCACCCGTCACCATCAGGAGCTTCTGATGTCAGGGGATGATTTTCAAGTTCAGGCATGCCACTGAGGCCTCTGAGTTCTCGTTACAGTTTCGGATCTGAAGAGAGTGGGAAATTCAAGGAGATTCCAAAAATCTGATTGCAAGTCTAACTCTCTCAGGAGCTAGTCCTGTGAACTTGTTCATTTCACCACACTGCACAGAGTCTCAGTTTCCCCAATTGCCAAGGAAGGAAGGAGGTCCAGATGAGGTCCAATGTCCCTTACTGTTTCACAGATGCTCAGATTCTAAGTGTGTCTGTTTCCTTTCCTACTTGGACTCACCAGATCCCCTGTGTGTGTTTGTTTATCCATGCAATGAGCTTTTATTAAGTGCCTAGTAGATGCAAGGCACTGTGGGAATAATGACGACTAATGCATGGGTTGTGACAAAAAGCAGTTGTCCAACGCATTTCAGGATAATCGTAACTTGAATTTGGTCTAACAGCACAGAAGGTCTCTTTTTGTCTCTTTTCTCACTTCCTTTCCAAGACTGGTAAGAGGCCAACTCCCCATTCTATTGCTCTTTTCCTGCAGTACTGGTGACAGAGGGAAAGAAAGAGAATATGATTTACATTAACCTAAGCCCAGAGGAAGGTCTGTTAAGGAAATAAGTGCAACTTTCTCACCAACTCCCCCATCCATTTATATGCAGACGAGAGCGCAGAGAGATATAGATAGAGAGAGAACGCACATGAAGACTGGCAGTTGGCATGTGACTGATTGACGTGGGTCCGGTCAACTCCGTGTCCCTAGTGCACCAGGCAGGGCCAGGTTTTGCCTTCAGTTCCCTCAAGACGAGTTGCTTGGCTTCAGTGGTGTCCAGAAGCACAGCCAGACCACCCTGGGTAACAGGCCCTTGGGACCTCCCCTCTGGTGGGAGCTTAAGAGAATGTTCTTCAGGAGCAAAAAAGAAATCACAAGCTGAATGAATGAAGGTATCCAAATTTCTGTCAACCAGTGTTATATGCTGTATGTTGGACAGTAGTATATATGTTTTAAAGTAATAATTTTGTATATATTTTAAATAAAGTATTATTGCTCTTTCAGTGTACAAGACTATGTTCTTATCAAAATTAGCACCAAGCCCGTGAAGGGTAAGCCACAAATCTGGTGTCTAACACTTCCTAGGACAAAACAACATTAGGAAATCTAGAACCTTGATGTTAGCAACCAAGCTGGAATGACCAGGAAGTTAATATAAGATGACAATGGGGAGACTATTTGAACAATGGAGGGGTCACAACCGGGGCACCCACTTTTGAAAACAATCATAGCCCCACTAAGTAACTCCAGCCAGTTAAGTCTTCACCGCTGACTTCCGGTCTGCCACCTTCAGAGTGCTCTCCAGCCTCGCCGAATCTTTAACGAACTTTGCTTTCCTAAGACCGCGCACAGCTACCAAGTTCTCATCTCCTTTCCCGAGGTTTGCAGGGAAAGTGGTGCTTGTTGGGTTTTGGTTTACATCTTCTCTTTAGCCCTGCGGCACCTGAAGTTTTTTTTTTTCCTGTGGGGCCTGGGTAGCTACTATGGTAATAACTGTTCCAGAAGCGACGTGGGAGAGCCTCGCCCCAGAAAATAAGACACAAATAAGCCTCAGAAGTGTCATCCTAATCCTGACTACCCCTAAAAATCCACTACCTTCTCGTCTTGAATCTTGATTGCTGTTCCTGGGACAAAATGAAGGCAAAGTTTCTCTAGGTCATTCTGACAACCAAGCCAAGCAATGAAATTCTAGATCAATTCCTACTTGGCTATTTTGACCCCTGGGACTATCTTCCCCAACATGAATTACAGCACATGCTGCTTTGGACTAAAAACCCCACCTTGGGGACTCCTGGGTGGCTCAGTGGGTTAAGTGTCTGCTTTTGGTTCAGGTGATGATCTTAGAGCCATTAAATCAAGCCCCACCTCAGGCTCTGCTTGAGGTTCTCTCTCTGCTCCTACCGCTCTTTTTCTTTCTCAAAATAAATAAATAAGTAAGTAAGTAAGTAAATAAATAAATAAATAAATAAAATCTTTAAAACAATAACCTTGTTTCCCTCTCGTTGAGGTCCACGTCAGCGAGGTGGGATCTCTGCTCATGGGGTTGCCTCACTCAGGTTCCTTTCATCCAGTTTCCCATTAACTCTCCAGGGTACTGTCTTCTTCTTTGTGGTGCATTTTGGCTGTGGCCACGGCTGTTTGGTTCCTGAGGAAAGGAAAGGTGGGATAAGACACACCCACACTCCCCTGGTCTTCCGCAGCCAGGAGCTGAGCTACAGCCAGCTACAAAGGAGGCCGGGAAATGGAGTCCCCATCTGGGGAAACTTTGATGACGTACAGCTTTCTTAGCCCGGAAAGGAAGAGGATTTGGTGGATTCCCAGCAGTTTCTGCCGAAATACCACGATTTTGAAAAACAAGGGATCTTAGCAGACATACCAATTCTGAAATCCTAAGCACAAATTTCATAGGGGAGCTTTGCTCCTTGTAAAATAAACACACCTCTATTCCATCAACCCAAGAGGGGTGCCTTTTCACCTCCAGCCCTCAACATACAGGGACCTACATCCGCAGAGAAAAACTGCACACATTTATGCCTGGGCTAAGGAGATAAAGCCGCCACATTTAATCTTTGAGACGCAGAAGAAGGGAAACAAAGTTTAACCATTTGAAAATTTGCAGTCATGAAGAAATGAATTTGGCCTAGATTTTTTTTTTTAAATTACTATTTAAAACAACAGTCAACAGTGATTGAAACCAACTCTGCCCAAGAATTTAATTATGTTCAAGGCAAGAGTATAATTTCAAGGTTTTGCCTATGGTACGGTGGAGACAGGTTGCCCATGGCAAGGTGGACCACCAGGGAGTGTGGGAGGGGGCTCAGGCCAGGCTGCGGCAATTTAACTAATCATGAAAAGGGAGAGCGTGGGGGCCCCCAGGTGGGAGGTTAACATCTGGATTCTGCAAGAATAAAGAAGTTTGAAGGCAAAGGCATTGTGTGCGCGTGTCTGCGTGTGTGCGCGTGTCTGCGTGTGTGCGCATGCGCACCCGCATAATTTCGGGCAGGCGTCCAGGGTTCCTTAAGCAGACCTTCCCAGCCTACCTTCTGTTCTCTTGTCTTTCATCTTGGAGAAGCAGGGGACAAGGTGTTCTAGGGACAAGAGGGATGCCTGAGATTGCCCGACTCAGAGAGCCAACCGGGAGGGGCTGCGGCACAGACAGATTTTTTTCTTTTTTCTCATTAGTCTGGTAACAACGGAAAGAACTTACCTGTAGGACCAGAACTTTACCTTTTTGCGATCACAGATCTGAGGACGCTGATAAGCAATTTCAGCCTTCTGAGGTGCTTCGATAAATGCCTGAAGTTCCCCTAAGGCCCAGGTAGGTAGAACAGAGAGATCCCTTGCTCTGGACCTGCGTGTTGCACCGTCTCTGTGCTTCTGGCAATGGCTATCCTTTTGCCAGTCATTGCAATTGAGGGGGAAAATAGCTAAGCTCACTTTCGGAAGCATTTATTTTTTAGAAGATTTTATTTGTTTATTTGAGAGAGAGAACGAGCAGGGAGGGGAGAGGCAGAGGGAGAGGGAGAGGGAGAGGGTGGAGCAGGCAGATACACCGGGCTCTTGATCTCAGGGATCTGAGATCCTGGCCTGAGCAGATGAAAGGCAGACGCTTAACTTCGTGAGCCACCCAGGCGCCTCTGGAAGCCTTTTTAAAGACAGGTTTGGGGGCGCCTGGGTGGCTCAGTGGGTTGAGCCGCTGCCTTCGGCTCAGGTCATGATCTCAGGGTCCTGGGATCGAGTCCCGCATCGGGCTCTCTGCTCAGCAGGGAGCCTGCTTCCCTCTCTCTCTCTCTCTGCCTGCCTCTCTGTCTACTTGTGATCTCTGTCAAATAAATAAATAAAATCTTTAAAAAAAAAAAGAAAAAGACAGGTTTGCTGCTCCTTATTAACTGTCCTTTGTGGGGACTGTATTTCTTATTTCTCCCCTCATTAATGTGCCACTGCCCCTTTTCCTGGTCACAGTATTTTGCTATACTGTCATGAAGTCTTACAATGTTTTATTAAACCATGAAGAGAGGGTCACTCACCTCCCCATAAAAGACAAACAAGACTGAACAATTTCAAATATGCGCATGGAAAAATGGAAAGCTGAGTTTGCTTTCAAAGTGTGAACAGAGGCAATGGGCAAACATTAGGGGGAAAGAGGAGGCTCTTTCCCAAGGCTTTCTGTATTTTCTGGAATTTGCTGGGCCTCTCCGGAAGCAGTCAGTCCAGGCTATTCAGAATGTGCCTCCTCCCTTATGGGGAGCCCTAGGACTTCTGACATGCATCCAGCTAAGACCTGCACTGTGGAGGTGGGTATTTCTGGACTTCACTCGGCCCAGATGAGACTCCTGAGCTGTTTCCCCTATCCCCTTGCATAGTGAGGATGCCCCACAAGATTT